TTTGTTTAATGCGCAGTAAGATGGTTATCTAATTAATCAACGGGTTTATGTTGAGATGGTTTATAATTTTTAGTGAGCTTGGCATATTTCCAAATTTCCAAAATGTTAAGTTTCCAAATTTTCCAAGGTCCCAAATTCTCAAACCTCCGAGTTCCCCTAATTCCCCAAATGTTTCAAATTCTTCAAATTTCCAAATTCCTAAATTTTCAAATTTTCTAAAGTCTCCAATTCTCAAATCTCCAAGTTCCCCTAATTCCCCAAATTTCTCAAAATCCCCAAATTTTCCAAAGTCCCAAAATTTCAAATTTCCAAATTCTCCTAATTCCCCAAAGTCGCCAAATTCCCAATTTCCAATTTTTCCAAAGTCCCCAATTCTCAAATCCAAAGTCCCCCTAATTCTCCCAATTCCCCAAATTCCTAAAATTCCCCTAATCCCCCAAATTCCCCAAATTCTCAAAAGTCCCCAAATTCCCTAAATTTCCCAAATTCTCCAAATTCCCCAAATTCCCCAAATTTCCAAATGTAGAAAATACCAATACCTATCAATATCAAAGTTGAAAGTAACGTTCACAAAATAAAGTAAATGCTTTCTGCAGAAGTTAGTGTATGAAAATAGCGTTAGGCTCCTCCATGCTCCACTCGTGTCTTCTTTTCATCTCTAACGTTCATCAGCGTTTTCTAGCACGCGGATGAACCATGCTAATTCGTTTCTGACACCGTACCATACATAGCGAATCAGGTCACGACGGGGGCGTTGAATTTTCCAGATTTCCATATTCATCGCGTTTCCTCGCCGCTACTCATTCGACGGTTGAAGGATGCTCGTGCCGGTTCGCTCTCCCCATTCTTCCCGCGATATCGTTACACTTCCCGAGGAAAAAGTTGGACCGTTCCTCGTGGTAAGAAATCGTAAACGCGTGCACAGGCTGCGACGAGTGACGCCAGATGGAAAACGGTGGGTCACGGTACAGTAACGTGTACTGTTAAAGAGAAACACACGCACACATACGTGTTCATATACATGTCGAACAAATCTGTCGGGTATGCCGTTTGCTCCCTTCTGTCGTTTGCCTCTTCGACTGTTCTTTTTTATCTTTTTTCTCACCCGGTTGCTTCTGTCCTCGCGTGCCATGATTATTAATAGTGCTCGGTTACGAGACGTCGGTGCGAATAAACTTTGCATAAATTACGAGGAAAAAAGGGAACACGTCGCTCGAGAATTTCGTCTCTATCGTCTCGTCACGATCAACCCTCTTTTGGTCGGCGCTAAATCACGCTGCATCGCCGCTGCTGAATAATTTACCGTCGAATTGACCCTCGTGGAAACACTCTTCTTTGAGCGATCCGATTTTCCATTCGGATGCTCCTCGCGAGACCCACTTGATCGTTACCGCTGGAAATACGGCCTGAGCACGACATACGTTAATGAAGACACGAGTGGATAAATGTGTCATGTAACATTTCTTCAAAAATCGATACTTTGGTGTAATACTCGTCGAACAACTATCTTTACTTTCTTTTACTATGTCGTACTCTTTAACGAATTTATTATGATACAAATACATATGTGAGTACATTAAGAGTAGTGCTCAAAATAATACCTAGAAAACGAGTCAAACGAAATAGAAATGTATATGCATGTTTACTCTGAAGTTGGGATTGAAGTAGAAAAATAAATAGTACAAAATGCAGACATTAATAAAGTACCTCTATACAGAATATCCTAGTGCTACTATTAAATCTGAACTTTCTATGAATACTACCTTATGCTAAGAAAACAATAATATTATATAGGATTTTCATTTTTAAGGGGGAAACATTACCGTCCATAATGATTTAGCTTTAGACGATCATAGGTTAATTGCAAACATAGAATGCATATGAAACTTGCAGTTGGTATAACTTGGTTAATACAGGGAAGAACAAAAATACTGATACAGCAGTATAATAAAACAGTGAAAAAATATAATAGTCATATAATAATATAATTGTATAGTAGACCAGTGAGACAGTGGAACATTAGTGATATAGTAGTATAATTTTACAGTGAAATAGCGAGATACTAGTATAGTATTGCAATAATAGAACATGTGAAACAATAGAGCATATGTGTACAGTAGACTATTAGCAAAATATTAGAATAGCTACATAGTACCATATCTGCATAGTACCATATTGAATAGCAAAATTGTAATATAGTGAAAGAACAGTGTACCAATATAAATGAAGTGTGAAATAGTGAAGTAATAAAATAGTAACAGAGTAATAAAACAGTAACCCTAACTGTAGTAAACTTGCCCCAAAATTACAGTAATAATTTGGAATAACAAATAAAAGAATTGCATTCGATTGCACATATGAGCCTACATGACGCATTTGAGACCATATATAACAGTGACCTTCTGTAACTATAGTCCACCTCAGAGTTACCGTGAACATTTTAATTACCGCCATTTAGAAATTTCTAATTATATACATGCGATCTAATTATACACGCGATTGTGCTCGACGTAACACGATTCACACGTGAAGACAGCGGAATCGGTATCGAAGACGAAAAGATGGGCGCAGCTCCCGAAGAAAGTATGACGTGACCCAGAAAAATGTCTTACACCGCCGCGTGACGCGCAAAAGTTCGAAGATTAATCAAGCTGCCTTTCATTTCCGTGAAGAAAGGTGGGGAAAAAAATGAAGCGGGAAAGGAAAGAAAGGTTCATTGTGACGCGGACCGTCGATGAGGAACGAGCAATATCACGAAGCTGCAACGCGGCGCAGACACATATAGTTTATGAACGCGTCCCTTGTTCCGTCGAGTAATTATTGTGTATTTTAAGGGAGCAATTTCTGGAAACTCCGGAAGTCATTAATATCGACGATTTCGCAGTACGTTTCCTAATGGCCGTGAAGATCGCGCGGAACTGCGATCGTGCAGGGTATCAGTCTTGCGTAACTAAATGGCGATATAACAGGAACTTGCAAATCTGCAAATGCTCTCGTTGGTTTAATGCGTGCGAAACCTTAATCTTTGAAGATGACGAATTCATTTGAGAACGCGAAGAAAATTATTACTGCAATGATTTGATATAAGTGAAAATTATATATACGATATAAATGAACAGCGGATTGTTTTGGTCACTATACTTTTTTACATTCCGTAAAACGTCAATTAATGTAGGACCTATACGATATGAACGAAAATTCATATCTGAGAGACTCACTTATATCGAATATTCAGTGTAGACTTAATATGTCAACATCGAAACGTGTATTTTTAATCTTCTAGATCGCAATATTCCTATATTCCTGTATCTCGATATTTTTATATTCCGATAACTCTACATTCCTATATCTTGAGATCATCAAACTCTAAGATTTGCATGTCATCAGATCATTATCTCATAGACATAAATATCTCTAGATTTAAATATCCCAGAACCCAATATCTCTCAATCCCTAATTACTATACCCAAATATTATTGTACTCCAATATGACCAAATTCAAATATTCCTAGATCCAAATATCTTAGACTCTGTATCACTAGATCTCAATATTATTGAACCCAAATGTTCCTAGATGTAAATATTATAAAACCGATATCCCTACACCCCAATATTACCAAGTCTAAATACCCTAGATCCTAAATTATCAGTTTCAAATACCCCTAGACCCCAATATACCAAATACGAAACATCCCTGGATCCCCGCGTTCTTAAATTCAAATATCCCTAGATCTCACGCTCTGAACTCAAATATCCCTAGATCACATGTTCCTAAACTCAAATATCCCTAAGTCTTAACACTCTACCCCAAATATCCGTAGGTTCCAACGTTCTCTGCTCCAAATATCCCTAGATGCCGCCCTTTGATTCAAATATGCCTACATTTTAACATTGACATGCTCCAATATCCCCAGAGACCAATATTACGTGATGTAAATATCCCTAGAGTCACTTCGTCGAACCCAAATGTCCCTAGACCCAAATATCACTATATCTAAATATCCCTAGATCTCCGCGTTGCTGAACACAAATATTCCTAGGATGCACCACAAAATCCAAATATCCACAAATCCTTAGTTTTCCCAGATAACTAAGTTTAACTTAGCTTTCCAAATCCCTAAATACTTAGCTTTCTAAATCTCTAAATACTCTCTGTATACCCAAATGCAATCTTATATTTTTGAATGGTTAACCTATTGAATTTAATGATACCGTTCCTATATAGGCACAAGGTGAAATCGTGCATCTACGAAGGGTTATATCATAGAGAAATCTTTTTTTTTTAATAGAGACTGTAGCTTGGTAATGCATTTCGTGCCGAGACGAGACACAGCACCCTTCAAGATCTTACTAATGAGAAGCTCGACATTAAAATGCGCAAAGCTTCGCGATAACGACGAGCCGGGATCACGGAGGCGGATAAAAAATTTAATTGGTCGACAAGTACGGTACGAAGGATGCAATATTACGGTGATGAAAATTTTCTTGATTCTTGATCGACTGTGCGATAGCGATGCCATTATCATAATGGGAGAAATTCGGAACACCTCGAAGAAAATCAACTTGCAATTATCAATTCAACCGTTCTACCGTACACGTAATTGTATTCCGCAGTTTTTTAACGCGGAAGAGTTTTTGTCGGGTTTCATGAGAAATTTTTGTGAACTTCCTTCTATATCTTGCAATCAAAGTAGTTTAGTACGAAATAAAGAAAAGAGTGATTGCATTGATAAACACGTAATAGGAGTACGTATTTTCACAATGGCGGTAATTCATCTTAATTGACTTTCATGATCTGCTTCACCCAGCTGAGTGAAACCCGGAAAGTGTGAAAAATGAAGTTTGTTTAAGGAAATATGTTAATAGGAAGTCTTCAACCTTCATCACTCATCTCGTCAAATTATTCGTTAAGATTAAATTACGTGCACGCGAGTCTACTGCACATTAGTCGATCGCTAACTTAACGATACAATAAAACTCAATGTGGCAATAAAACTTACCTATATTTCAAATTGATTGTCCATCCTTCAGATACATGCCCCTCTGAAACGACAAAAATGAATTTCCGATTACACATTAATTTAATTGAAACAGTAAATTAAAACTATTTAACTGCCCGAAGGATATCGAGCAGAGTAGAATTTTTCAAGTTTTACCTCGGCGAATCCCTGCGGACGATATGCTTGGATTCGCTCCAAAGCTGGTGAAATTTCTGGCTGAAAATTCCGAAAAAAGAGCAGTCGCTAATGCGTTTTTAAACGCAGTGAAAAAGGATGGGAGTACGGGAGTGTCGTAACGAATTTAATGAGACTAACTATAGACAAGACCGGGCGTTTCACCGAGACGGTCAATTGCTAATTAAAATACCGAACAAAGCGAAAATAGCCGCTGCCTTTCAGACAAACAATGAGCAACAACTCGTTTTTTATATCTTTTATGCGGTGAAGGTGCGAATTGAAAAGAACATTCTTGTGTCCCACGTGGATAAGTTATCCACCAGCAATACAAATACTTTATTTATTCTATTAGATTGACCGCTAAGTTCAAAATGCCATATAACGCGAGACGATATATAGCCACATAACGCGAGACGGTAGCGATGTAACAAATGACAATGTGCAGCATAATGATATAACTCATAATAACGCATGATGGCATATAATATACAACGTGTGATTGTGGTAATATAATAAATTGCAATATAGCACGTGGTCATAAAAGGTGCGATACAACACATTTATCATAATATCAATATAATATTTAAAATAATACCAAATACATTTAAGACGATTCATTCATTAAAACGTGGCAACAATCTTATAAATAATAAATGTTTTCATTCACAGTTCAGGAAACAGAATGAAGTCGATGAATTAAATTCGCGTTTATTTTCAACGCGTTTCACAAGAATGCTTCATTATAGGAGGGAGGTGAATAATGAATAACATTCCAACAGCAATTAAAAGTGAATGATCCTATTGATCATAAACGAACAAAGAAATTGAAGCACTCGTTAAATTAACGTGACGTAATACTGTTAGATAATTTTTGTAGAAATTGTATCATTAAATAATTTCTGTTTCGTAAGAATGCAGCCGGTAACGTTTGATCATTCGGCGCAAGCGTCTTGTAACATTCAGCGCAAGGTTGCGGTCGATCCCTCTCACTCTGCTTTAAGGTTGAATTAATTAGGTAAAAAACATGCTCGTAAGAGAATCGGTACGTCCAAACGGGAAAACACAACAAACAGCTGGTCACATTTTTCATCGCGGCGATAGATCCGTGAAAAAGATCCAGAAGGAAGAAGCGGCCCATTTACAGCGTACAATTAAGCATTGTGACTGAATTATTCGACGGATGCCGTGTGTACCGTTCGTTAACCGTGTAATTAGCCAATTGCTAATTGCTCGAATTCGCATGAGCTGGTTCGCTCGGCTCGGAAGCATATTAATTCTACACACGAAAACCTCTCTCTGTGTAGAACAGAAAATATGTAACATGTAGAGGCGGAAGAGAAAAAGAGCAGTCCTCAAGGATGCAAAAACCGTGGCGGGAAAATTGAAATACAAAGGACACGTGTGTTTCGACGCGTCTTCATTATTCACTCGCTAATACCATACTGTCACGAATGTACCAAATATTTTGCTATCTTTCTTCGTAATTCGAATTTATGGTTGTAACAATCTGTTTCTACGTATCACTAGTACTGTATTATTACTATACTCTATACTATTATTCTACTTATTTAACACGCAATATAAGCATTGACACATAGTTTAAAAAAAAAATATGAAAAATCGTTTTAATGATAGTAATTATTACTCTCACAATTATAATGAAATGCGTTACATAAATGTAATAGCGAAGCAGAGTTTGATTGTAATGTTAAATCCGCGGTACTGCATTCCTTCTTGCAATAATCAACGATCAACATGTGTACACATTGCATAACTTGTTAACACGGAAGGATATCAATTTTGATAACTGAGGAATAACAATAGAAACGAGAAAAATAAATCGATTTTCCCTTATTCGAACGGAATACAATTATATGAAATTCCGAGAATGAAAATTAAGAGACAGTTCATGGACGTCGCGTAACCTCGAAAATTCATCGTGTACCGAGAGGATAGGTTCGTTGCATACATGTGATATTTTTTTGCAGAATTCGACGTGGTGAAACGTGAAATTCAATATTGTCACCGAATAGTTGGGAAATATTGGAAAACAAAGTGAAACTCGTTATTTCTCTGTCATTCGGTACATTTGGAATCCGTGTTGCGTGTGTCATTTAAATAACGCCCACTTTTAACTCGAAAGAGAGAGTAACAACTCTGAATAGAATCCTCAAACAGTATTAATCGTTCGTACGATTTAAAATACGATTATTTTTGTGTAACCGAAGAATCAGTTTTCTGTTATTTCAGCGTGTTTTCAATGAAAAAGGACCGTGTTAGAAAATGAAAACGTTTTAACGTGTAACAGCATCACAAGAATTTTATCCTGCGCGCGAATATGTCCAAATTACGGTACTCACCTTATCGAATAGTTGGATTTTCTTGGCGGACCTGCGGACAAACACAGGAAGCACAATAACACGATGTCACATGAACGAATATTCGTAGAAACCACATGAAACAACGATACAATCACCTCACGAAACGTCACACTCACTTTGCTCGAGCGGCCATTTTACTACACACGACTCGAGCGAAGAACATTTTGATCTACAAGAGACAGAAGCACGAAGTGAATTCACTGCAGGCTACTAGTAACTTCTCACGTACCAACATTACGAAACAGTTTTTAGAGTAAATAAATTACACTATGGATTCGTGAACTTAGGTTTAGTTACTGCTCTTTATTTCGCAAAAGAACAGTACTACTGAACTACAACTTTTCATCTGCGCAGATCTACTTTGATTGTACTAATGCACATGCACTATAATGAAATTTGTAACATTAATGTATATACCCTGTGATCTTTTACTAAATATACTTGTCTAAAAATCAGGACCACTATTTCTTATCTCTTTTTAGGATACATCATATATTTCAAAATACGTTTCAGGACTTTGAAAGTTATAAGTTACAGTTCTGAAATTTTGAACTTTCCAAATTCTCGAATCCTGAAGTTTCTAAATTTTGTCGTGTCTTATTTTCGCTACTCATATATTTTTATTCACCGTGTATATGATCGTGAAGTAAAAAGCACGTGATAGATGAGCACCACACTGGCGGTAAGAATGTCCTCTGAACTCAGCCGAGATGCGCGGCATTATTACGATTCTCTTCCGAAATAAAGTATAACGTAAATTTTCATGCTGAGATGTGTTCAAGAATTGGATGATCACAATAGTAACATTATTTTACCTGCTTGTGATGTTCAGCGGCAAATGACATACTTCCTTACTTTTTGAATGGAATTAGATACAGTTAAATTATAATCTATATATGTTTATACGTAGCAATTGTGTATATATTTATTTAGTTGTCGGTACGTAGTGCCGTTCTGTATACTTTTGTTTGAATAACTTTATTTTAATGTATTCTTTGAATTAAACCTTGACATATGGAAATAGCGCACACTTGATTTGGAATAATTTTATATAAAAAACAAGTTTATTACTTGATTACTGAAATGGCACCACAATTGAAAATTTTATCCAACGTTATAGAGGTAATTATAAACTAATTTTGGGTTTTCTTGAAGTAAAAAGCATATGAATAACATTGACAGTTGTGGTGGTTTAAAAATGTGTAATTTCTTTCACAGCGATTAAAAAACATAAATGAAGGAGTAACAGGTCACTTGTATGGCGTTATGTATAATAATACATTAACGGTCTTAACATTTAGCATAAATGTAGTAGATGATACTGAAGTCAATATAAATCATACAACGTTACAATTACACATGCCAGCAGAGGTATATCTTTGCGGAATATTACATGTTGGACAATGCGAAGAAAAATTACCTGATTCGTTTCAGGTAAAATTATTAAATATTTAGATACATTGAAGTGATAAGTAATATTAAATGCATATATTTAAGTATGTTGTTGGAATGCATCATTTATTATATACATAATGTAATTATTTAGGATATTGATATCACAGATAATCCACTATTTTTTAAATATACACATAATAGTTCCAAGATAGATGCATATTTTTATATTCACCAAAAACTCGAAGCTGTTGATGATATAAATGTCATTAATGAAAATGATATTTATCAAGAATTTACGTATATAAGACTAAGAGGAAGCTTACCTTTAATTATGCAAAATGGTAACATAGTAGAAGTATTAGAAGAAACAAGGAAAAATGTAAGACTGTTACACTTTGTTGAGAGTTGTAATAATTAATATGTTTTGTGTAATAAAGTGATTCTTTTTTGACAGATTGCATCAGGAAAGATAGGAATTCAGTTTCCATCAAAAAATACTTTTCTTTTCAATAACCAGAATGATCTAAAAGATATATCCCTGAAGGAACTTTTAGATACATCTGAACCTTATGAAGGAAATAAAAATGTAAAAAAAGGCATGATGCAAGCAACAGGAGTTGTGGTACATTTTTAAAAATTTTATAATCATTGTGTTCTTTTTGATTAAGAAACTATATCTATTTCATACATTCAACAGGATGCAGTGAATGCTAATATACTTTTAAGGATCTCTGGGGATAGATTATCAGAGGAAAATATTAAATGTGCTCCAGTTCTTCAATATGTAAAAAGTAACCTAATTATAATATTAGTAATATTGTTTTATCATTCCAAATATGCAATTAAGAATTTTAAATGAAATATAATATTTATAATGTAGGGCCATTTAATAGTGTGGAATGTAATTTGCTAATTGATACATTATCCTTGGCCAATTTCAACATGAGCTCTGCAGACTTATATGGAGTATTGGTAGAATCTATATGTCGAAATATTAAGTTGATAGAAAAATGTTTTGAAGATCAGCTCCAAAATTCAGAAATTATGAAACTTGCAATATCCAATCACTATAAGCCTCAGAATTTTGGACATTTACTTACAATTGTTTATCCAAATGGTTATACTGATAAAGAAACAAGTAAGTCCTTTATATTAATTTGTTACACTATGTATGATAAAAATATTAATAAGAATTTAATATTTTAGTGAAATACCGCGAGAGTTTACATAGAATTTTAGGATTAGATATGACTAAACCTTATTTTCGTTACGGAAATGCTGTTAAATTTTGCAATGATTCACAAGTAGAAAACATATTATTTAACCCTCATGAAGCAATTCAACAAAATTATGGTATCTATTTATCATGTTATTTTACATTGAATCATATTATATAGTGGTTAATTATTATTTTTTGAATAGACACAGCAAATAATAGTCGTAAAATAGGTATTGTACAAGGTCTATATGCATATCATCATTACATGCAAGATAACTTTGATGATAATGGTTGGGGATGCGCATATAGATCGTTACAAACGATTGTTTCGTGGTACAGGTAATGTCAATATTCAACCAATTAGGATTATCCGCTTATTACAAAGAAATATTATTTTTATAAGAATATTTGTTGTAGTATTTTGATTGTTACAGATTGCAAGGTTATACTGATACACCAATCCCTTCTCATAGTGTAATACAGAAATGTTTAGTGAACATAGGAGACAAACCTTCCAATTTTATTAATAGCAAACAGTGGATTGGTTCCACAGAAGTAGGTTTTGTATTAGAAAGTCTATTAGGTGTCAGTGTTAAAGTACTCTGTGCATCAACAGGTGAAGAAGTATCAATGTTAGCTCCAAACCTTCTGCATCACTTTCAGATACAAGGCACACCAGTAATGATTGGTAAGTAATACTTTTATGTTTATACATGAATGATCTCTTGTTTTTCCGAACTTATTTTTTAAATAAATTGCAGGTGGTGGAGTATTAGCTCATACCATTTTGGGAGTTAATTACGACGAAGTTACCGGGGATGTAAAATTTTTAATTTTAGACCCACATTATACAGGTTCAGAACATTTACCGACTATAATAAACAAAGGTTGGTGTGGATGGAAAACAAAAGATTTTTGGAAAAAGGATGCATTTTACAACATGTGTCTTCCTCAAAGACCAGTGTGCATATGATCATGTTAAAGCAACAATTCAAAGCAAATTATATACCGTTACAATGGCAGTGTTCAGAAATACGTGTCAGGTAGTGAGTTTAAAATAATTTAGTATACAAGTGCTGCATATGAAAAATAATATTAAATTGAACATGCAACTTTTGGATACTGTATTTTATTAAAAGATTATTTTTATCTAAACATTGGTATTTATAATTTTTGTACTGAAATGCATTATTGCACTGTTTTTGTTCCATAGTTTATATTAGTATATATCACATGCATTTTAACTTTGCCAAATAACTTCTAAAATATGTTATTCAATACTAGGTGGAAGTAAAATATTCATTCCAATTTTTATATTAATATTTTAATACTTTTTAGTATACAAATTTGAAAATCATTGTCAGATAAGAAGCCATATATGTTAGCGAATACTTTCTGACTTTTACTGCTGTCTGTTTCCTAAATGGAACATTTTTTAATGTAAATTTTTAATTTATATAAACTTTTAATGCACTTGTAGTTGGAATAATTAATATATAAATTGCTAAGCTAATAAAAAGGTTTAATGTAATTGTATTAAAACACATGTAACATATTCAAAATGTATTTATTATAACATCAATGTCAAAATAGGCTGTTATGTTTCTATATAACATAATTTCTTGAATATGTTAATAAATTTCACAACTACTTTTGTAAGTCAGAATGTACATTTTGTAAAATATAAATTGAATTTTTGTATAAAAAAATTTTAAAGAATAATTTTGTTGAAAAAAAATATACAGTTGTATTTATTATTTGTGGAACATTAAATATATTTCTATTTTTTGTTCATATGCTAAATACTATTATACAGATGAAATTAAAATTGAATGTAACAATACAATCATGTAAATAACTTAAAAAATTAATTTTCTAAAACTCTTTGTAAAACTTGCCCAAAGCGATTTGTAATCAAAAAAGAAACATCTATAAATCTATCTACACAATTGCTTAAACATGTTTCTGTTCGACTGTCCAATTTGACTCCTGGTTTATCAACACATTTTTCCCAACAAATGTCGTTGAATTCTAGAATCTAAAATTAAATGAATACTTTTGTAAAAATTCATCGTTAGAACTGATAGGTATATATATTGCAGCTTTTCATTTATTCTATGTAAGATCCCATACTATTATAAAATATTGATATCAACAGTTTTGAATTAAAAAATAGTGAAACTAACCTAAAAATTAGGTATAATTTGTATTTACATATTTAACATGCTATATATCAATTTTATCATAAAAATTTAAACAAATTGGTAAGCTTAATAAAAACGTTTAATTTGAGAATTATTTTTATATAAGATATTTCACCTGAGCTTGAAATTGTGCTTTTTGTTTTTCGGCTTGCACAAATTCTTGTAATTCAGAATCTACTCCTGGAATCTTAGTATCCTCCAGCGTACTATCAGACATATCGAATATTCTTTACTTTTCCAATTTTAATTAATAAACTAAACAATAATATTTCATCAAATTTGATAATACGATGATCTTGCCAGCACACACGTGGTTTACTAACGATAGTAACCAAAATTTATTGGTGCATCTTCTAGTAACTTATGTAACACAAGGAAATTTGTTTTCACCCACCAATTTTAAAATGACGCTACTTGCTATTTATTTAAAATGATGAATGAATATGTTATGCAGACATATATCTTCACTATAGATAAAATTATTTTAAATTGAGCTATATTTTCTCTTTCCGCTAAACTAACGCGAATATACGATGAAAGAACAAATATATTTTATTTATGTATCTCATGTAAAGATACATCATTTTTAGCAGTACTATATTTTACTATATTTATATACATCATATGGTTCTCCAATTATTTTTAACTTCTCGATAATCTATATCCATGAGTCTATATTAAAGATGTTTACTGTAGTTTCAACTTATTTTTTAAATAATCAATGTACCATTTTATAATTATTCCAATACGTGGATTAATACTGTCAATCATTATTTGACACACCTATATTTGCAATTTAAATTTGCAACATGTTTTGACGTCTACTTATCGGAATAATGTAATAAAAATACTATAAGTTACACCGTCGAAATTTTATTATAATTACATGTATTACCAAAATGCGAGTAAATTACAAAAATTATATGATCGTATGAATGTTACAATTAATAACATCTACAAGCTCAATATATTATAATAAAAAGAATGACTTAAGCTGAAACGTCATATTCATTAATACTTTGATAATTGTCAAAGAACGTTTATATTAAATCACGTAACTATGTACTTATTCATACATGATGCTGTATAACATGCGCATAAAAGAGTGAAGGATCAACAATCGACAGTTCACATTAGAAATGACCAAATTGATTCTCAATTTCTCCCTCCGTCTTAATTATTCAGGTTATGATCCCGGTTTTGAATTTTGTGGTGATATGACATACAATGCATGATAATATGTTATATCAAAAAGCGCGTTGCGAATACAACGCTCCCAACAAAAGTCCGCTTCAGATGTTTTCAATAACATCAATTTTCACCTTGAACTTTGGAAACTCTATCGGTACCTTTACCAAGATCATGGCCACATTGGGGGGGACGAAACAGAAGAAGTTGGAAGACAATTCGGCCATCTTTAGTTTATATCACGTGCAATTGATCACGCCACTTGTGGATACGGCCCTGAGTGCCGGCAAGTCAACCGGCGCGGAACGGAGCGGCGCTGCATTTCAGAAACTGTTGTCGTCGGCGGCGTCAACGGGTATCGTAGTTGCGTGAGTTAGACGCATTCTAACCATCGTTCCCTTAAGGGAGATAAGCTAAACTGTTCAGAGGCAGTGTCCCCAAAGTCATACAAGAAAACCTTTCGGGGCATAGTAACGTGTCACGGTGTGTGCGCGTGTATTCATTCGATTCTATGATTGGTGACAATGACCGCGACCGTGGAGGACTATTACGACGGTTCCCGGACTTTTCACTGGCTCGGAAAGTTTCTCGACGTGCCGCTCGACCAGGTGAGAAATTAATCTCTACTTTCGTTTTCATCACGTGACAACCGCCCTTGTTATTATTTCCTTTTCTACCACTCAAAAGGAGGGCGCATCGATCGAATTTAAATTACTCCAGATCTCCTGTCCCTTCTTTTATTATGTATCCTTGCAATTGAACTTGTTCGTGTATCAACGCTATCGTTTTCCCGTAACGACTGTCAAGGTTAAGGCCTGTCACACCAGCTGATGTTACTGAAATCTTAACACCGTTGGTTTTGCGCCGATTGTTCGTACCTTTTAATCTACCAGTCCAGAAATAGTAGAACGGTAATCGGTGATCCAATTGTTCGAAGGGTTAACTGTTCGTTAACGTTGCTCTCTGTGTTGTAATTCATACGTGTGTAGGATTCGCATAAACACCGTCATTGAAATCACTTTCACGCCGTGTGTATCGTGAATTGATCCTGACATAGCGTTCTTATTCTCGTACGTGCGTAAGTCTTATCGTCCTACGTGAATTATGTATCGAACATTGAAAGTTAAATGGAAACTGATCACCGAGCGTAACAGAATTTTCCGTTGAAAAGTGTATCGGGACGAGGAAATTAAAAATAGCATCGAACAGTGTTGCGTTTCGTGCAAATATGTATGCAGCACTTTAAATTAGCGCGAATCACACACGATTTTTACACACGTGCTTTGATTTAGCGATAATATCGAGCTTTTATCTGATGTGACAAACGTAGCAGGAATTATTAGAGGTGCACTTATTGATTATCGATACATTAACAGTATCTTATCATCATATTAATAGCGGTAACTAATCCTTATAGCGTAAGTTTCATGTTAGAGAAATGTACGAAAGTAATAACACAGTCAGCGCGGTGAAATGTGTACATATATTCTGTAAATAGAATGACCGGTGAACACATTGGGATACTATCCCACTATACATATAGGTTGCATCGGATGCAACAGTTGAGAAAAGGTGAATGCAACGTGAACTAGTTCTGGTATGAACGATGGAGATTTATTATCGATTATTGCTTTTGGATTAAAGAATTACGTGTAATTAATTAATTTGTGATAAACTGAAAAACCGGAAGTTCCGGAATTTCATAGTCCTAAAATTTCGAACTTTCATAAATTTAATGTTATCGAACCCAGAATAATATAATTAACCGAATTTGACACTTGTTAGTGGTAATTTATAAAGATGCTATTATTATTTACAATAATTTGTAAATAACAGTTAAAAATCTTGTGAAGGAAATTTTTACAGAACCATGATTTTTGTTAGATTCCCATTCACATCGCAGTGGAGTGATTGCCATAACGAACGAAGTTCATAGTATTACTGGTGATATCATAGTCAGTCATTGATAACGGTAGTATTGCTTTGATGATTAAGCTTATCGAAACTTATCCGATAAGAAAGTTAATTATGTCATTACCTAACAATTGCAGTGTGTCATACGATTTTAGAACGACATTAGATGAAAATGTGTTATTTTCATAATCTTTTGTAAAAGTAAAATTTTAAACTGGAAAATATGAAAAGAATGAAAATCGTCCTTGCTGGGAAAATGATATTCATTGTTTGTCAGCATTTCTCTCGTATTATGAAAATTTATTGATGAGAGTGTTGGTATTGTACGAATATGCGAATACCAATTGGGGTTAATGTAACGGCCTTATAGCGAAAAATCAATTACACCGCAAATAAATTATTTTAATCTTTCTTTCTACAGTCGTAATTAGAATAATAGTTGCTGAGCATTTGAAGGATGTAGATAAGCAAGATAAAGTATCAAGGGAAAAGAAGGAAACAGTACTATGTTACGATTATCCAGAAATAGCAACGTAAGAATAAAAGATTGACTTGTCGACGTGTCGATAACTTACTGACCCCATTTCTCACTTGCTAATTTCTACTGATTCCTTCTCAATGCTACGAACAACAGAATTTAACCTGTGGAATACTACTAGCTATACGTTCAGCAAAAACGATCCGAACATTTATCAAAATGATCAACTATCGTTTCTATCTACTACGTAACGGTTTTAGATTTACAACAGGAAAACGATTTTTTAAGTTATAAATCTTGCATTAACTGTTGTATGGCCAAGGTCGGAAACGGAGTAATGGCTCCCGGCCTCTTGCCTGTAGTGGCGGAGAAAGAAAAAAAGAATTCTTCACCCATAACAAAAGAGTCACTATTTCTATCCCGTTAGGCTAAATATCACCTTCAATTATTAGTTGGGTGAAAAAGGTTTTACGGTACATTTCACCTGTGTGCTATATATCACAAGGTGTTTCATTAAATCTTATGTAGAATTGTAAATAAAATTTTTTACAAGATAGAAAAAATTATACATTATTTATTATATAATTATATGCCAGTAAAATTGTTTCTACAAGGTAGAAAAAATTATATATTATATACTATATAATTATATGCAAATAATATTGTTTCTACACGGTAGAAAAAATGATATATTATATACTATATAATTATATATATCTTTAAATATTTTCTATAAATGCAGACAAAAATAAATTTTCTCCTCAAATAAAATGTAATGTTAATTAAAAATAATTCCGATATTTTTGTATGAATCTAACTTTCTAGCATAAATTATGTCATATTTCGCTACAAGTCAGTGTGTAGCTAAATGTTAGTTGTCGAGCTTGTTGTAAAGTCAGGATAATCAATTGCATAGAACATGTAAGAAAAAATGATATACGAGAAAGAACAAATGAACAGGTTATGATTTGTTATATAAAGCAAATTAAGCTTCTGCAAAGGTGCACGTTACGTGTAGACTCGTGTCGAGTGTAATGTGCAGAGATCATTGGCCTCTGTGTGCAAACGTGATCTGCTCATCTTGAACCCTCGAGACGAAATAAATCGACATTGATACTAGATAAATTACTTCAAGTATGGCGTGATAATTGTACGGATATTATCAGTCGACATTGATTCTAATTATACGATATCGCCAAACGTACTCTTTACGGTACCTTATATAACTCTTTACGAATGTGAATATTTTTCAATAAATAATTTGAAGCATTCACGAAATTTTTAATCTTTTTGCTTTCAAGTTTCCATGTCCTTAATTTTTAAGTTCCTATATTAACAATTTTTTAAATTGTTGTACCTTCAAGTTTTGATTTTTATATTTTTTCAAATTTTTAAATTTCTAAATAATCTAGAAAAATTGTAGATATTAAATATTCAAATATGTAATTCCTTAAATTCATAAATTACCAAATTTCTAATTTGTGAATATCCAAATCTCCAAATATTTAAATATGCAATTATCTAAACCCAGATCCTTAGATTTCCTAAATTCTCTAAATTACCTAAATTCCCTAGATCCTTGAGTTTCTCAATTTTTAAATTCCCTAGTATTTAACTTTTGAAATTCTTGTATCTTCAAACATCTAAATTCCCTAGATCCTTGGATTCCCTAAATTCCCTCAATTCCCTAGATCCTTAGATTCCCTAAATTCCCTGAATTACCTAACTTACCTAAATTCCCTAAATTACCCTAATTCCCCCTAGGTCTCCAAACATCTAAACCCCCAAATCTATAAATTACCAAATTTCTCAAATCCTAAATTCCTACACCTCAAAATATCTCAAAGTACCTGAATTTCCAAATCCCAAAATCACACTTATCCCTAGATTCCCTTAGATTCCAAAGTCTCCAGCTTCTCAAATTCCCAAATCCCGAAATTTCCAAATACCCAAATTTCAATTGAAACTTTTATTTTCCCTACATTTTCCACTATTAAAATTATAGTGGAATTACGCATTATTGCTGATTCTAAATGTTTCAGCGTATCATTATCCTATGAACTCCTCTAATGCGATTATACAATTCTCAAGTTTTAATTCTAATGATTCTCTTTTCCTGTTACCTATAATTAACAGTCGCATTAAAGATTGCAGGACTCTATATTTAAATGGAGCTCTAAAGCGTTTACATCTATTAACCTCTGTTCTTTTCATTTTTTTTTTGTCGTCTGCAAGAAAAAAAGTCAGGTAAACGAATTACACCAGCGGGAATTGAACAAGCAATAAATTCTTTAGCTTTATCGTCTTCTACAAATTTATTCGCGATATACCGGAATAATTATCGAACGCTTTACTTCTCTGATACGAAAAACGTGTACAAAATTTTCCGAATCTAAAATCCGTTGTTCTATTTTTATTTCTGCGACGAGGATGATCACGGTAAAAAAACAGAAGCACATTCATGAATCAAACGTTTCGATGAATCATCGTGATGTAATGATGTAAATAAATACACTTGGTATCATTCATTATCTATATAGTAATAAATTGTTTTTATCTGCGAATGAAAGAATTTCAGGTGCAGAAGTGTGACACTGAATACCTTTTGTTCTTTTCTTTTTTATTCAGCCTCTAATTGGATGGTGTTTGAACATCTTGACCTACTTGATACAGCCTTGTTTTATTAATTAAAAACAAAAATGAAATAACTGTGCTAGGTACCTTTATTTTCACCCGCGACTCGCAGATACCGTTGTTATTCGAGTAACTGTTCTAACTAGAGAATGTAAGTATATGGCGGCTTTGAAGGTCACCGGTAACCGATCCTCAAGTTTAACGCGACTGAACAATTAAAAAATGTACCCTAACTTATTTTAAAAACGTTACACGCCGTGATTGCAGTTGGAAATTGCAAGGTTGCATTTTCATGATTTACACTTTTTCTTATTATGTTCACTTTCACTGCACATGGCGGATACGCTATACTTGCAGTTCTCTTATTTTATTATTTTCTTTCTATCGTTTAAACTTCCTGCTGGCTTTCATAATTAGTGCAATATTAACGTTACTTAAGTTTTTTTGTAAACTAGTCAATTTCACTTGAAAGAACTTCTATCATAAATAAAATAAAATATTGATGTAGAAAAGTCTTTCAAATACAAACTTTTATAACCTACCTGTTATACAACATTATATTTCTGTAAGTCTTCAAAACACAAAAATGTGTGAAATATTTTATGTACAATTAAGAAGTATTTTGTAAAAAAAATAAAGAAACTTTGTCGTATAAATTGCTTAAGTTTATTATCACTTTCACTATCAGTTTTAAGTAACGGCATAAACGTTTATGTCCATAACAGTAGTTAAATGCCGTTACAGTAATTATTTTGTTTACCGTTGTTAATGTGTTTAAAAATTGCTCGAAGTGAATATTTAACAAAAAAGTGATACACTGTACAGAACACGAGCTATTGTCCAGAATACAGGGCATCAGAGCTAGTTATCATTTTTCGCGCATTTTCGAGGTCTAGTATTTGGTACATTCTTTTGTCCTAAAGGGCTCTTCAATCGTTTGAAAACAGGACACTCCAAACTCTAATTAAGAGTTAGAGAGACAATTATGTCATCCTGGAAGTTGATGATCTCTTTCCTTAGATTTTATGTCCGAGTGTAGTTTAATTAACGTGGAGTATTCGTAATGATAACGTTGGAGATTGTCACACCGTGTATCATAGAATTAATTAAAATTCTGGTTTGAGAAGTAACAAACATAGTAATTCTTACCTTTCACCTTCTTGTACGATGCAAATGAATCGTATTTGTGCTCTTTCTTTTAGTAGAATTACAAATTACGATTCGTGATAGCTAGTGAACTTTGAAAACATACTTTACAGTCGTGACACAGCTTAATATAATGCGGCTTCAAAGCATTAAACAGATAATCGTATGCAATACATTCGAAATGGCTCTGAATATACATGCGAGGAATAAATAACTTTTTTAAGTATTTATCGATTCGAGAAATTGTTTGGACGAAGTGATGACGATAAGAAACCGTCTGTAATGTTCTACGGTGGTATAATGCAATTTATAAGTAGTATTATAAGTTGTAAATATGTAAGTAGAATTATGGGGAATTGGAGATTTCGCAATTGGGGGATTTGAGAATTTGGGAATTGCAGATTTGGAGATTTGGGAATTCGGGAATTGGGGAATTGGGGATTTAGGAATTGGAGATTTGGGAATTGGGGATTTGGGAATTGGGGATTTGGGAATTGGCGATTTGGGAATTGAGGAATTGGGGATTTGGGAATTGAGGATTTGGGAATTGGGGATTTAAGGATTTGGTAATTTGGAAATTAGTGAATTAGAGAATTGGGCAATTGGGAATTGGTAAATTAGGGAATTGGGGATTTGGGAATTGGGGATTTGGGAATTGGGGAATTGGGGATTTGGGAAATGGGGATTTGGGGATTTGGGAATTGGGGAATTGGGGAATTGGGGAATTGGGGATTTAAGGATTTGGGAATTAGTGAATTAGAGAATTGGGCAATTGGGAATTGGTGAATTAGGGAATTGGGGATTTGGAAATTGGGGATTTGGGAATTGGGGATTTGGGAATTGG